AGGCGATTTATAATAAAAGATCTACAATTAGTTTTAGATCTACAATTAGATTAGAACAGAAAAACAAAGCCATAAAGAGGAGGAAGAAACGATTGTGCTAAGTACAAGGGTTAATGTAGTTAATATGACTGAAAATTAAAATTGGTTCTTAGTTTCCTGGAAATCAAGCCAAAAATTGCTTGCTTTTAGGAAAGTTTCCTATAAATTTTAATCTTGAGATCAGGTAGGGTGGCTTGAAAAGCACTATGTAAACACTAAAGTACAATAAAACGTTATTACTTATTATTATCCAGAATAGTAGTCTATACCCATCCAGCACTTAGAATTAGTTTGTCTGTTGTTGCTATGATAATTCTACACAGTTTATTATAGTCTCAAGCTACCATGCATACTGAAAAACAAAAAGACAATGCTGGTTCTGCCACTTGTTACATGCTTGAACTCAGATAAGAAACTTCAGCCATCTGGGCCTCAGCATTCACATTTGTGAAATGAGAGGATTCACTATCACTAGATGATCCTATATATTTATTCATTCATCCATTCACCACAGCTTTATTGAACTTACATACCAAAAAATTCACTTGTTTTAAGTGTGTAATTCACTACTTTTGAGTAAATTTACATTTGTACAACCATCACAATTTTAGAACACTTCCATCACACCAAAAAGAAACTGCATTCCCATCTCTCATTTAGATAATCTTTTAAAAGGTCCTTTCTAATTTTTATATTGTACATTTCTAGACTTACAAAGCTTTAGCAGCTCTTTGCTACCTATAGAACCAAGTTCAAATTCCGCAGTGTTTAACATTCAAGGTCCTCTATAATCTACAAAATCTCTATCTCCAACCCAATTCCTTGCTACGTTCCTTACACTGTTTTGCCCTAATAAGTTACCTGCCTTTGAGTTTATGCTCTTGTAGTTGGAAACTCTCTCACATCTCCAATCTCTGAAGAGTAAAATCCTACCTATTACTCAGTCAGCTTAAATGCCACTCATTCCATAAAGCTTTCTTCATTTCATATTCCTCATACTCTTCTAGACCTGGACTTTATTTGCCTTTAAACTGTAACAGTATTTTATTTGTCCCTCTCATGAAAGTGCTCACTTTCATTCATGGATCTTGTGCTTGGCATATCATCACCTTACCTGTTTAAGAGATCCCAGAGGGCAGTTGCTATATCTAAGACAGCTATGTATCCATAACAACTCCCAATGTGGGGTTTTGTAAATAATAACTTTAATAATAATGATGATGATAAATTTGCAACAACATGGATGGAGCTAGAGGAAATTATGCTCAGTGAAATAAGCCAGGCAGAGAAAGACAAGTACCAAATGATTTCCCTCATCTGTGGAGTATAACAACAAAGCAAAACTAAAGGAACAAAACAGCAGCAGACTCATAGACTCCAAGAAGGGACTAGCAGTTACCAAAGGGGAGAGGTAGGGGAGATTGGGTGGGGAGGGAGGGAGAAGGAGATTGAGGGGTATTATGATTAGTACACATGGTGTGGGAGGGGTCATGGGGAAGACAGTGTAGCATAGAAAAGACAAGTGGTGACTCTGTGGCGTTTTACTACACTGATGTGCAGTGACTGCAATGGGGTATGGGGCAGGACTTGACAATATGGGTGAATGTAGTAACCACATTGTTTTACATGTGAAACCTTCATAAGAGTGTATATCAATGATACCTTAAGAAAAATACAAATAAAAATAATGATGATAATTGGTACCTAATTTAAGCATCTACAATGTGCCAGGTACTATTATAAACACTTCAACAAATATTAACTCATTTAATCCCTATAACAACTCTCTGAGATAGGTATTATTATTATTACCAGCACAATTTTACAGATGAAAAAACAGAGGCACAGAGAAGTGACATACAAAGTTAGTTAAGCAGCAGAGCCGAGATTTGAATTCAGACAGTCTGACTCCAAAGCATGCACTCTTACCCACTACAGTAAACATCCAAGCCACCTGAAACTCAATAAATGTTAGCTGAAAAAATCCTAATTGATAAGATTACTTTCCAGGAAAGAAACGTAATTAAAATTCTAGGCACTGACAAAAAAGTGATGGTGGTAGGAAAAAATTAAAAACAAAAAACAAATTCTGATTTAGACAAGACAGTCACTGAACTTTTGCGTAGGCTTGAGGTGCTACAAAAATCATTGTTAAACCCTAAGGTTGTAACTTAAAAGGACAGTTCCTCTCTCATAAATAGGTGGTGGGAGTGCAAAATTGGTAGTATCTACTCTAGCTGAATGTATGCATATCCTACAATTCAGAAATTCTACTGTTATGTATATCCCAACAAAAATGCATATGTATATCCATCGAAACAATGTTCTATTTGTAATAGTCAGAACTGGAAATTCCCCATTAACAGAAGAATGGATAAATGACATGTGCTATGTTAACAAAATGGAATACTATACAGCAATGAAAATGATCTATAACTACTAAGAATAATATGGATGAATCTTTCAAACATAATGTCAAGCAAAAGAAGCCAGACCACAAGAGCATATACTGTATAAATTCATTCACATTAAGTACAACAAAAGGGAAAAATTAGTCTATTCTGTTAGAAGTCGATGTAAGTTACCCTTGGGAGGGTTATTCACTAGAAAAGCAAGGGAACTCCTGCTAATGTTTCTTGACCAGGGTGTGTACAGTTTGTGAACATTCATTGGGTATAAACTTATAATCTATTAACTTTTCTATATGTAATTAAGAGTTTTTAAAGAAGTCTTTCCAAGAAGAAAAAAAGACTCAAGAGACAGCCAAAAATAGGAGTCACTTTTGCACTTGACACACAGAACTTATGACTGACAAGTTCATGGTTCTCTCTGTCCTCACACTGATAAGACAGATGTCTTTCCCTTTTGGGGAAACAGTGAATTAACAAAAGAGGGGCCATTTTAACCTGCAGACATTAGTGCAACCCCAATCCTTCCCAGACACTTATAATAATAAAAGAAAAAATTATATTCATGGCAGTATACTCACACTTGACAGCTCTACCAGGCACCAAAAGAAATGCCAATTTTATTTAAGGAAGTAAATCTTCACTTGGAGTTTTTATTTGTATTCCAAGACTCAAAATACCATCCATGCAGTACATATGGGGTCTGACCTTGATGCCAGTTAAAGTTTTCTTGAGCACTAACCCCATCTCCACACCAGTCAGAAACAGCACTTGTACCTATTAGGCAAATCACTTCATCTCTATGGGTGTCAGTTTCCTTATGTGCAACATGGGAATAAAAACAGTACCTCCCTTATAGGTTGTCATAAGGATTGAAGACCTATTTCATGCAAAGCATCTAGTACTGTGCCTGCCACGTAGTTACTCAAAGAGTTAGCTACTATTATTACTCTGATGTGTGGGACAATGGTATCTTCTTCCTTACCATGCAGATGGCCCAGTTTATAGCTTTAATCCCCCAATAGAGGGATTTCAATAATTTCAATATTTGATTATTTTAATACTCAAGCACAAGGGCAACTCAACCTCCAACTCTCTCCCAGGTTGAAAAAGCAAAAGGGGAGTATTTAGATGAGCTAATGAACTGGGCAAGTAGGACAGCCCAGGACTAGGTAGGTTGTCTGGAAGAGGGAGTCTGGATAGCAGAAGCCACTTTACTTGGATGGTGCCACCTTCTTATACATGTCAGGGAACCTGGGACAAATAACAGAACCTAGAAAGGAAGGGACCCAGAAAAAGGTAAAGCTGGTTGCTATAAGGGATGTGGTTATCTTCAACAGAGAAGGGACCTAAAGAAGGAGTCAGGAAAGGAGAGGTTTGAAGGTTGGAGTTCCTGCTTTGCCCATCAGGCAGCATCATCATTTCAAACTAAGAAGTGGGGAAGACACTCCTGTAGTTACAGAAAAGTTTTCACAGTCCTTTTATTTAGTCCTCACAACCACCCTGTGAAGTGAGCGGAGAGCAAATTGCATTATCCCTTGTGGTAGAGGAAAGAAAGGCTCAGAAAGATTAAATAATTTGTCCAAAGTCATCTGACAGTAATGAAAGGGACCAACATTCTAATTCAAATCTTCTGGCTTCAAAATCCATGCTCTTTCAATTGCAACAAACTGGGCTTTTATGTGGACTTCAGTTAGCCTGAGTGACGTCTGTTATGATTGATAGAAAAAAATTAAGCAGTGACTAGTTGTGAACTCTACCCTGAGCCTTAGATGGTAGAAAGAAAACTGATAGGAGGGAGGTGGATTAGAAAAGAGACTGGTATTAGGGAGGGAAAGAGTAGGGAAAAGAAGTAGATGTGGTTCTAACCGGGGATAGGCTGTAAACATGTGCTTACTAGCCTGGAAATATCAACTCTTAGTTTTTACCTCCTGGCTGAGCAGGTCCAGGTTCACTCTGCTACACCTCCTTCCTTTCCCACAGCCCAGCTTGGGCTGGAGAGGTGCTGTCGGCCCTAAAGCCCACTCACTAACGCCAGGGAGCCCGGGCGAGAGCAGTGGTGGTGGTCTGGGCAGCCGTTGGGGCAGAAAGAACCAAGAGCAAGGTAGGGAAACGCTGGATGAAGGAAGTAACTCTCTGGGAGATGATGCCACATGGGGTATTTGAGAAAGGCAGGCGGTAACAATGGCAGCGAGTGTGTTTAAGAAGCTGTAATGAGGGTGCGTGTGAGGTAACGGCTGAGTTGCCGGGAGGAGGTGGGGTTGGGACAGGGCTGGGACCCGGCAGGCGCCCACCAAGCGCGGGGGCAGCGCCGCGCGAGGGGATGGTTGGCTCAGATCCCACTCTTCTGCAGCGCTGCCCGCAGGCGGGTCCTGAGAAGAGTTCAGTTTGGTTGAAATGGGGTGTAATACAAGAAAGAACTCGGGTCCCAGAGCGGGAAGGGGGCCTCAAAGAGCACAGTGAGAAGGCTTAAAGGAGTGTGCCTAGGCTCCCGGCTGAGCACCGAGACTGAGCTCGTGGCTCCTCACTCACTCACTCAACGCTTCTCCTTACCTTGGGCACTGTAATATGTTCCATGGCCGGGGTTCCCACCACCTGAAGTCCCCAATGCTACTCCAGCTGCCGTAGCCGATACCGATTTCACCGCCTTCCTGCCCTACGTGGGCTCCTGCCCCAGCCCTCGGGGTCCTGGCTCAAGATCTCGTCACCAGATCCTCTTGAAAGTTCCTATCGCGACACTTTGTCAGTTGCCGCTTCCGCCATGTTGCTTCCTGGCAAATGCCCTTTGTGCGCGCTAACTTCTGTGGTTCAGGTTTCAAGTTTAGCCCAGTTCTTAGGTCCCAGACTTAAGTACTGCCTTTCTTATCACACCCCCTGATGCTGCAAGTATTCTGAGCACCGCTGTCGTTCCACTACTGTCTAATGATAGCAACGATGTCCCCTGCAAAGACAATACTGATTATCTCATGCTGGCCGCTGGGTTTCTGAAGAGCTTCCTAACTGTAAGACCTTATGCAAGGTTTGAAATGGTATATAAGCACATCCTCCTCTCAAGTCCCTCTTTACAAGTCGGCCGCCACCAATCTAGTGAAGGTCTGGATGATTGCAGTAGCCTTATAACTTTTGTCATCACAGATGTAGGAAAAAGGACCAAATGCCCACTGTGCCACCTCTCAGATGAGGTACAGATAGGTACAGTCACTCACTGGTGTTCTCTGAATCAGACTTGTGATAACAAAAAAAAAAACCGTCCAGGAGCTGGAAAATCTGGGCTTTATTCTCAGTTCTGCCGCTAATTTGCTGTGTGACTTTGGGCAAATCATGTCAACTTTCTGGCCTTAAATTGACCAAGGTTACAATGAAGTTATTGGCCACCATCTCTAGGGTCATTTCTAGTTCCACTATTGTGATGTTACGGTTTGCAATCTCCCTCACAAAGTGATTTCTTTCTTCTTTGAGTGTCCATAACACTCTCTAGTTAAACTACTCTTTCATCGTATTCTGCCTTCTTCCCTAGCTTAAAAGTCCTTCTCTCAATCCATGGCCCAATTATCCCTTGAGATATCATTCCATGATTTTCAGTCCTTTACCTTCCAAACATCTCAAAAAAAAAAAAAAAACAGTCTACACTTATCATTACCTCCATTTTTTCTTAAGTCTTGCGGCTTCAAAATCCATGCTCTTTCGGTTGCCACATACTGGGCTTTTATGTGGACTTCATAACGCACTCTCCATCCTTAACCACTCCCCTCAATTGGCACTTTTACATCACCCTGAACTCCAACTGCTGCATCCAATATCTTTTCCCAGTGCTCAGTCTCCATTTTGCACCATTTAACACTGTTGATTCGTATTCCTTTTTGACACTCTTTCTTACATTGGCCTTTGTCATAAAAGAGACTCACTGCCTGCATCTCTACTCTTCCTTCTCTGCCCCTCTCCCAACTTCTCTTTGCCCTTCTCTAGCCATTTCCCTTGCCTCTGTCCTCATTCTTCTTCTATTTTCTTTTCTTGGAAATCTTGATCTCTTAAGTTCAATTCTTAACCCCTAGTAAGGGACTCCCAAATTTACATCTCAAGTCCTGTGATCTTTCTACTGAGCTCAAATTTGGAACTTCCAACTGTTCCCTAGGAGTTCCATGTGGGTGTTGCTGCTAGCACATTAAAGGCATCATGGCCAAAAACAAACTTCTCATCTTTCACACCCTCCTCTTGTGAGGATTCAAAGATGTAATGTATATCAGGTGCCAGGAACATCATAAGGGCAAAGTGAGTATTGTTGTTTTACCTTGCCTTTCTCAACTCATTTTTTCAACATGTTTGTTTGTCTTTCCAATGGGTTTCAGCCCTAGGCAAGTTCAGTATGGATTCAGTGTGACCAAAGAAATCGACAGCAAAACATTCTTGGAGTGAAAGGGTTATACCCAACTTTATTTCCAGGTGGCAGGTCAGTCACTAAAATCCCTTTCACTCAAAGCGAGTCTGCATGCAGTAAGCCGGTCTCTGCCTCTGGGCCCCTCTGTGGGCACAGTCGTCCCACACAGTCGTCCTCTGGGCCTCTGTCCTCAGCGCTGCCACCACTCCAACCTCTGCTCTGCTCTCCTGCAGCCTTGCAGCCCTGCCACGGTATCATGCCCAGAGCACTGGGTGGAGCTATTTTTATATAGTTAACAGCCATGTATTGCCCACAGGTGTGCAGTGAGCTAGTCAACCACAGCCAGGTGAGAATCCTGGACACAGGAACTCTCATTTTATCCAAACTGTTCTTCTCCTCTCTCTGATGACAACCTTGCTTCCTAGTTCACTGATAAAATAGAAGCCATTGGAAAGGAACTTCCACATCTTCCCACAACCAAATCTGCTTGTGAACTCATATAATCTGCCTTCAATTAATCAACTGTTCCTGAGCCTTCCTAAGGCCACCCCTCCACATGTCTACTCAATTTCATTTTCTCTCCCCTATTCAGTTATCCCTTCTCTTCTTTACTGTGAAAACATTCCCACTTTACCAGATCATTTCCATCAGCACAAAAACATGCTATAATAGTTCCAATCTTAAAGAAAAACCTTTGTTGACCCATATTCCTCTCCCCCACCTTCCATCCCATTTCTCTATTTTCTCATTTAGCAAAACTCCTCCAAAGATTTGTCTAAATTTATTCTCTGCCCCCACTTCTTTTGATCTCCTCCAATTCTCTCTTGAAACTACTCTAATCAGGTTTTGCTCCCACTACTCCAGCAAACCTTTCTTGTCATTTAACAGTAATCTCAATTTTGTAAAATCCATTGGTCAATCCTCTTCTCATATTCTCACCTGTATTTGATCACTCTCTTCCCCTTAACACATTTCTTTTCACTTGGCTCCAAGGACACTACTCTTTCCTAGTTCTTTGACTTCTCTTTCCCATTCTCCTTTGCTGTTTCTCTCTCATATTATGTATCTCTGTATATTGGAATGCTGCCAAAGCTCAGACCTTCATCTTCTCTATTTACACTTATTCCCCAGGTGCTGTCCCCCAATCCCATGCTTTTAAATACGATCTATTTGTGGACAACTTCCAAAATTTTATCTCTAGTCCTGATCTGTTCTCTGAACTCTTGAACTTAACATAATATCCAGCAGTCTCTGGACATGTCTTCTTGAATGTCATAGAGGAATCTCAAACTTGCCATATCCAAAACAGAACTTTTGATTTATACCTGCATCCTCAAATCTTCTCTTCCCATAGTGTCTCTCATTTAAGGAAAGGGCAACTCCATCCTTCCAATTATTCAGGCCAAAAGCCTTTGAGGCATCCTTACTCTTTCGCCACACCTGACTCATGAAATCCTATCAGCTCTTCTTTCAAAACATTCTCCAAATCCAACCTCTTCTCACTCCTGTAACCTAGTCCAAACCTCTATTTATCTAGCCTGGACTATCATCATGGTCTGTTCTCCACATTTGGACACTGGTCCTCCTACAGTCTATTGTTTACACAGCAACTTCTAGATTTTAGAATCTATAGTGATGTCACTACTTGCTTAAAACTTTCCAGTGGCTTTCCATCTCCAAGTAAAAGCTAAACCCTTAATCATGGCTTATGAAGCCCTTACATAAGATCTAAGCCCAGTATCTCTCTGACTGCAACTTTTGTCACCCTTTTCTCTCTGCTCAAATCATATTGATATTCTTGCTGTTTCTCAAATATGCCAGCCATGCTGCTGCTTCAGGGCCTTTACACTTACTGTTTCTTCTGCCTAGTATGTTTTCCCCCAGATATCCACATGTTCACTCCCTCATTTCTGTCAGGTTTCTGATCAAATGTCATCATCTGAAAGGATCCTTACTTGAGCACCTTATATAAAATAAAACAATTAACACTTCTTCCCAAACACCCTCTACTCTCCTAACCCTTTTTCTTCATAGCTTTTAACACCACGTGATATAAATATTTTTTTCTCCCCCTCTAGGATATCAGCTTCATGAAGGCAGAGGCTTTTTGTTCACTGCTAGATCTCCAAAGTCTGTAAACAAACCTGGCACACAGTAGGTACTCAATAAATGTTTGTTTAGTAAATGAATTTTCAAAGTTATCCCATATTTTCTTCACCATTAACTTTAGCCACTTCTCCTAATATTCCCTCTTTAAGGCAAGTTGGTGTCATTTTAGAGGACATTAAGGCCAAAGGTTACAGAAGAGTCAAAGTCAGAGTGGATCCCCACATCAGTAGAAAAAGCCTGGGAATAAGAGAAGAAATATGGAAGAACATATTACTCAAAATATTTTCAGTGAAAGAGATACTATTATCATTTATTTATTATTTGTTCCCCCCATTATGATGTCATCTCCATGAGGTTTTTCACTGCTCATTACTATACCCCAGTGCCTAGAAAAGTACTTGGCATATAGCAAATGCTTGATAAATACTTGCTGAATTACTAGATAAGAACGAATGACTCTGGACTCACAGCTGGTTTGGGCTTGAAGATGTTAGAAGGAAAGAGGCTGGAGGCAGGGAAACTATTAGGAAGCTATTATAGTTATCCTAAGGAATTGTGAACTGGTGAGCCTGTGGGCTTTTTGACTGTACCTAGAGGTCAGGTCTGAGCAAGATTACCCAATAACTGAGATACTTGTTGCTGCAGTAAATCTCACCTATCCTGCTTGATATCCAAAACTCCAATTCAATTATTGCCCACTTATGTTCTGCTTCAAGGGTTTTTCCATTATTGGGGGTCAGTGATTTCTTACAGTATCCTAAGGAAGTAAATAGGTGCACTCAGAAAGCTGCTGCCAAAGGTCACCCATGATGTAGTGGATGATGACTATTTAAAGAGTCACAAAGCCTGTGTGACCTCACTCCTGCTCTAGAGCCAGCTTGATAAATCAGAGCAGAGGGCAGGTGGGGCATAACTTCATACAAGTTACCAAGACATCCTCCACCTTACTGATGGAAAGATGGCGTCAAAAAGAGACTGCATTTTTAGCTTATTTCAGTGTCAGCTTATCAGTCATCCTGAGCCAACTACCAACAAATTTCTTTTGAGGCCGAACTTGCTAGAAAGAACTTTATCTTTTAGAGACAGCTTACTTGAATCATGCAGTGCATAGGTGATATCAGTGAAGAGGTCTGGCAAGACTGCATCACGCTCTTCCTACAGACTGAGATGTGCTGTGATGCAGCAATTATCACCAACTCTTCACCCGGGTTCTTAGATTCTTATCATGAAGGCAACTTGTTCCAGTTGACCCAGAAAGAAATTCAGATCTTGCTGGCAAGGGAGGGGAGAGAGAAATTGTTTCTTCAGGGAATCAGCCTTGCGGAAACCAAATGCTTATTGATCCGGGACAACCTGTACACTGAGGGCAACTACACCATGGACCTCTGCACCAAAGGCCAGAGTCAGGGCAGTCAGGCAGTGATGGTAGTTCAGATCGTGTCTGTATACCTTATGGTGATAGGACAAAAAGGAATAGAAGGAGGCCCTCTTAACCTCAAGGCTTTTGAGATGGCAGGTTACATCAGAGAAGCCATTCACCAACATATGGCCCATTTCTAACTAAATAAAAAGGAGGTAGTGTTTGACCTGGAATCTGAATTCAGTGTTATCTGTTTCACCTGCTAGATTAGCATGGCCTTGGGGAGAAAATGGAGACCCCAGATCAGGTTTGGAGATGTGTGTGTTTGTGTATGTGTGTGTGTGTATGTTGGATGTGGGAACACAGGAGTGAGTGTTCAGTTATTTGGGCTTCTGGGCCTTTTTTACACCTAGAAAATTATCTCTCCCCTCTCAGCACCTGGTAGAGAGAGTAATGGACTGGGAACTAGGAAAATTTTGCTATAAATCTCAACTTTTTTTGGACTTACTCTGAGATCTCTCTCTCTGGACTAGTTTCTCTAGACTTACAGCAAGAAGTGCATTGTCTCTAAGGGTCTTTCATGCCCTGGAAATCTAGGATTTTGTAACATCACATCTTTCAAGGTCCAGCTCAAGTACTACCTCCTTGAAGAAGCTTTCTCTGCCTGCTACAATTCTTGGGGATCACCTAATTTGAACTCCTGGAGCAGTAACTCTCTGGGTCATTAGTTTGGCCCTTGAATTACACACTCTGTCCAACATTTCTTGGATGACTGTTCTATATTCCTATTTAACTTTTCACACACACATTAGCTTTGTTTCAAAACTTGATTATAATCTCCTAAAAGGAAGATGGTGGGTGTTCTACTTCTCTCTCCTGGGATAACCCAGCATGGAGCTCTGCCAGGGGAGTTGGTTACATGCATCAAATCACTTATCAGGTAGAGATTTTCCAAAGTGGGGATTCTGCTGGGTGTAGGTGATCCAGGGTGCTTGTAGCTAGGTTTTCCTCTTCTGATTTGTAGCTTGCATTTGCACCATTTATCTGTCCACTGTTGTCACTTTCATGAGAAGTATGGGTGGGCAGGGGCTAAGAAAGAGCTGGAAAATTTTAACCATTCAGTTTAGCTTGTTGCTAGTGCTCTGGGCATACTGAGGTAAGAAAAGGCAGGAATGAGAAAGAAGAGGTTGAGTAAAATACCATAGTGCCTATTTGACCTTGGTGTCACCAATCCCCAGGAGCAGTGATTATGGATAACCCTCTTCTGTGTTAACTACAAAGAATAACCTCTACCCACCTCCCACAGTAAACACACACACACCCTCATGGACTTGTAAAGGTCAGCGTTTAAATATAAGGTTGTCAAAATCAAATCCCAAGAGCAGTGCTATTCAATACAAATATAACTCTAGTCACATATGTAATTAAAACTTTTCTAATAGCCAAATTAAAAAAATGAAACATAAGCAATTTTAGGAACATTTTTTATTTAACCCAGTAGATCCAAAATGTTATTTGAACATGTAACAATAAACATAATATTGATGAGACAGTTTATGTATTTTTATGCCAAGGCTTCAAAATCTGGTGTGTACTTTACATTTGCAACAAATCTCAATTCAGACAAGCTTAATTTCAAGTGCTCAATAGTCACATGTATTTAGTGGTTACCATACTGGGCACTGTAGGTCTAGGCCAACTCCATCCAATCATTTGAAATTACTCTATAACAACCCTGCCAATCCATCCATTCACCACACTCCATGCTAGGCACTGGCTAGGTAATTAAGGAAAATGTAAAAAAAAAGTGAAAATGAGTCTTCTTGGATAAAATTCTAGTAAAGACAATACAAGTGAAAAGATAAATAACAGTACAATGTGCTAAATGCTATGAAAACGTTTTTTCAAACGTATTGAGCTCCCACTATGTATAAGGCACTATTCTAGACAAAGCAGCAAGTAAACTATTCAAAGTTCCTATATTTATGAAGCTCACATTCTAATGGGAGAAACACATAATATGTGTCAGGAAATGTCAGATGTCATGAACACTAAAAAAGTAGTTTAAAGGGAAATAGAGAATGTTAAGAGGGACTATTTTAAATAGTGAGATCAGTGGCAGCCTCTCTGGAGAAAGGATAATTGTGCAGAGGCCTAATGGAATGAGGTAAAGTGAGCTATGTCAAGAACTGGAGGAAGTTCTTCAGGCAGAGAGAAGAGCCATTCAAAGACCCTGAGACAGGAGTGTGCCTGGTATTTTGAGAAACTATCAGAAAACTAATGTGGTTGCAGCCTCTGAGGACAATTCCTCTTTTCCTCCCCACCTGCAGCATCCTCAGGCATGTGGTGAGGCAGCAGATGCCTTTGCTACCTCCCAGAGTGGAACAGCAAAGAGGAGCTAATCCTAACCATAACCATAATCCTCTTTCTGGGCCTTCTCTTTCTAATGAAATTTCCTTAACTTTGGCAGCCACATTATACTGCTGACTCACATTGAGCTCCTTATTAGCCAAATCCCCTAGGACTTTTTCTCACCGACTGCTGTTAAGATATTGAAATAGCAGTGGAGCAATAAGCCAGGAAGACATTAAATGTGGAAGTGGCTTCACTAGATCTTTCATCTTGGACAAAACCCCAAAGTGTCATGATACATATCCCTGAAGGGAAAGAGAATGAGGTAAGATGGAGGGTGAGGAATGTGAATCCTTAATTTAATTGAGCCTTTCTACATTATTCTTGTAGCGTGGATCTCCCAAGCAAAGAAATGTGTTCAGGAAATAAAGCCACTGAGGAGAAATGGCCTTCCCACTTAAAAGGATTCAGGAAAATCCTTCATTAGAGGAAAAGTTAAATTACTCAGATTCCCCAGTGAACAAGAAACTAGATTTGAGCTATGGCTGACTGAGGCCCAAGGTGGTAAGCTGGGAAGGGGAAGGAAGCTCAGGTGGTAGCTACCTAGCAGAGATCCTGCCCTTTCTAGCCAGAAAGAAGCACTTCACTGCTGGACCAGACCATGGACCTAGCCTGTTGTTGGTGAAGAATTTACCTGGAGACTAAAAGTGTTTTGTATAAATAAGCTAAAACTGTATGTGGAGAAAAATTCATTCGGGCTGTCCCAGAAGGCATCATGGAAGGCCATTATGGGAAGGTCCAGAATCAGAACAAGGAAGCTTCAGCCTTGCTGGGAGGACTCATCTACTCTCTCCATCCACCCTTTGTGCCCCTCCCTGGTGTTTTGGGTGCTCACAGTGGGAATCACAAGCCATCCTTAACCTTACTCTGCTGCCTAGGTGGCCACTTTTCTGCTCTTGTACTCCAGCCACACTGAACAACTCATTTTTTTCAAGACATGATTCATAATCTCCCCCATGGTGTTCTCAGAATTCACCACTACCTTCCTTCCCCCTCATATTCCCTGACAATCCAAAATGTATATCCTACTCATTTTTCTAAGCCTATCCTCCAGGTCTATTCCTCTAAGGATATTCCTTATTTCCCAAGTTTGGAGGTGTTCCCTCATCCCTTGGCATCCCCCACCTCATTCTTTGTACCTCTCCTATGACACTTAACTCTTTCAGATTTCATTCCTTCCTATGTATGTACATATCTTCTCTCCCTTATTAGCCTGCAAGTTTCCCTAGAGATGACTCTCTAGTTGTAATCCTCATTAGCAGGCTTTTGCACTAAGAAGTTCTCAATGAACATACAACTTGCTGGAGTAAATGAATGACAGTCATAACAAATGAACTGATAAAGGAATGATTTTCCAGCCAAGCCCCTTCCTTAGTTTCCCATAGTTTAAATGATTGGGGAAAGAAGGGAGGTTGTTGATGATTCTTCTTCATTCCTCTTCTCCTTTACTCCCCAGCACCAGTCACTAATTCTCTTGCCTATATGCAGTGGGGTGTCTCACTATGGGAAATCTTTAGCTCTGACTTTAAGGCTTTATGTGTTTATTATGTTTCTTGCATAGGATAGGCTCTGTGCCAAATGAATGGTCGACACAATTAATGGTATAGAAATTGAGTGGAAAAACTCCTTTGGATGCTTTCCTAGCTTATTAGTGCATGGAATGTGCATATCTTTTCTATTAAGACTTGCACATGTGGTATATTCATTTATTTATATTCTTGTTGGATTATTTATAAAGGCATTTACTATAGGGTCAAAAGGTTTGAATTATGAGGATCTCAATCCCAACCCTAAATTATCATTTATTAGCTATGTAACCCTAGGCTAATAACTAGGGTTATTTTAAAATAAGTTTTATGGGCCTCTGGTTCTTCACCTAGAAAATGTTGATGTTGATACTTGCAGGGATGGTGTGCAGATCAAATGAAAAAAACAAACAAACAATGGGCACAAAGTGCTTTGGAAAGTGTAAAATGCTTTAGATACCAGGTCAGCCATGGGGATGGGGATGGGTGTGGGAATTAAGTTAGAGCCATCTGTCTTCAGGCACGTACAGGTAACATCTGCTTTTCAAAAGTTCATGTTACACCACTCATTTCTATGAAAGACCTACTTTAGTACCTGTTTTTGATAACTGAAAGGAGTCCAAAGAGGATTTTCATTTTTATGATAATGACGAAAAGCAAAATTAGTGTTTGGCATTTGTTTTGCAGAGACCTGATATACAGGCAGCATGCTCACCAAGCAATGAGAATGGCACCACCAAGCTCCTTCCCTGGAACCATACTTTACATCTCACTATCAAGCCACAGTAGCTTTGAACTGTGTCTGTAAGCATCTGTGCTTTATCTTGATTTATTTGTGCATCCATGATCAAGATGTATCCTAAAATATCAGAAAAGACTAAGAAAGGTTACTTTTTGGATCTGAGAACGCTAAAATTTTTCCATATTAAATTACTGATTATTGTTTCTTTGCTTTACACCATTTTGGCTTACTAAAGGTTTCACAAGAATGCTCTGTGTTCAGGTAGAGGGAAAAACCTGATCTTGGAAGTTGAGTGACACAGGCTCCCATGTGGTTAACAATAGAGTCTGAAAACTTTAGGTTTAAAATGCCAGTTATAGCAGAAGCTTTAACTGATTTTGAGTTGGCCAAGGGTGGGGGGGTGACGGGATGAGAATAAAGTGCTGCCTTTTATGGAAAGGGTAGATGCAGTTCTTAGGAACAACAGCAAACAACCTCATCCTTGTAGCCTAGAAGGGAATTAACAGGGTGGCCATTTCCT